AAATGTATGTATATTTTTGTCTACATTCTCCTACATATGGGCAAACCTATATATTTCAAAAACTGCCGTCTGATTTAACGTAAAATTTGAGGAATTTTGGCTAATATCTTTTTTTAAAAGAAGTGTTTAATATCAGTTTTATCCTATTCCATCATCAGTTTTCACCCACTCCTGTGTAATCTTATTTTTCTTGTCACATCTATAGGTTTGTATTAGTATTTTAAATTATATCGTCTGATTTGGCCAAAATTGGATAAATGTTAAGAAATAAAACATTTCTTTAAATTCTCTAATAATAAAAGGATTATTGAGCCCACTAGCACAGAGGTGCCCATTCCTCTTCCCATGGCCAATTTGGCATCCCCTCCCTCTCCAAAAAAATATTCTTGCCCCCTCACTTATGTAATGAATATGTATCTATATGAGATGTTATACCTATGTTAGTTTAAAAGATAGTAGATATAATATTGTTTTGTTTCTCGAGAATACAAAGGCACAATACATTAGGTCAAAGACAATTACAGTTAGTAACGGCAATTAAAATCAACAAGAAACATCAGTAATGGTCACATTGGACCCACATTGGAAAGACTACTGGACGTAGAAGGCGTACAAGAATATGAAGGGCGAACAGAGTATAAATACTTTTATCCCTGTCCATCCCGACTATTTCCTCGCGTAAGAGGCTTAATCTCGTTCGAGGAGGCAGGGAACTTTGATGGTATTCTCGATTTTTTGTTGTTGATATTACACAGGGAATTATCATGTGCTAAATGAGAGGACATGTAGGAATTGAGGACTGCAATCTATATGTGGCTAATTTCAGCTTTAATTATTTGCAGTAATAGTAATAATTGTTAAAATCGGCGCGATGGCTAGTATGTTGGCATAATTATCTGGTTCGGCGTAATAATCATCAGATCCGGAAGATGGCGAGTTAAAGTATTTTCACCAAGAATTCTGGAGGACTCGATTTGGGATGAGGCAGCCCAGACAGCTTGTTGGATAACAATATTAAAGGATATCTAAGATCATTTTTGTCAGAAAGGAATTGAGGTTCCAACTAACTAGACATCTAATGAAAAACAGTGGAAATGTTTTGGGAATAGAAGCTAGTAAAACTTGGAGAGTTAGAGAGCTATGATCAGAGCAGAGTTCATTTAAATGTGTAATTGAGAGACCTAAGCAGCTGTTTTGAATATTTCGTCTATTAATTTGTTTGTTTTTTTAATGTATCTTATGTCGTTTCTTGCTTTGTTGCGTACTTGGGAGGTGCCAGAGTATTAAAAATTGAATGTTTTTTTTGGGGATAAAAATCTATATTTCCGAGCTAATGTTTGTATTTCGCCTATTGATTCGTTTTTTTTTTTAATACATCTTATGTCGTTTCTTGTGCTTTCGTTTCTTATTTGGGGAAGTCAAGCTGTTTACAGGATTTTTCAGGAAAGAATGCATAGTGACTTGCTGGAATTAAGTGACTTCGTTGGTCGTTAGGTTAGCCCTTGCTTGTCTTGGCTTGTTTACTTAACTTTTAATTTATTTTGAAGAAAATTGGTTTTTCTTTCAGCAATTAAAATTTAATTTTGAATTTTTTTTTTCAACAACTTTGAAGATGGCGCCGACAAATATTACTGAGGAACTTGAAGCTATTAATGATAGAAAAGAAAGGCTTTCTTAGAATTCAAACTACATCATTAAGGGTCTTCCTGCTAGAAAGGAAATTTTTATGGCTAGGGTTTCAGAAACTAAAGCACAACTTGGAGGAATTTGAAGCAGTGTTGAACAAAATTTCGGTGCTAAATGAATCGTTAGAGGAGGAACATAGGATTGAGATAAACACACCTTCATTAGCAGCAGAAGAACTTCATTATGAGATAAAACTTGCTCATGAGAGATTAATAAAAGCTGAGCACATAGTTCTCGCTTCTAACCCTACATGTCTGAACCAGTAGCACGTCCTAAATTGCCAGAGTTACAGATCCCTCAATTTTCTGGACAGTAAGAATAATTTCCTTCATTTAAATCATTATTTGATGCCTTAATTCATCATCAAAATAACACGGATATAGTCATAATTTCTTATCTCAACTCGTTTTTAGTTCATCTTCTTTCACAGGTCATTTTTTCAATTTAGTTTAACGCAGAAAATTGAAACTTTGCCAATGATAAATTATTAAAGGTTATCATTGCGGAAATTTAAAAGGATCATTGCGGCCTACCATCTCAACAAAATTAAACTTTTAAAATAATTTTCTTTTGATGATTCTTCCAACTTTAGAAACTTTCTGGACACATTTAAAGATAATTATAATGCCTTAAAAAATCTTAAACTCGATAACCTCGCTGATTTTGTTTTACTGCATCTCAGACTGAACGTTGTAGACCCCAATACAAGAAGAATGTTTGAAAATAGTCTCAGTGAAGAGACAGTTCCTAGCTTTGAAGAATTTTGCAAATTCGTTAGGTCACAACTGAAATACGCAGTAATGTGTTTCGATTCTTCTACATCCGAAATTTCACAGCCTCAAGTTCAGCGAAAAACATTTTTAATTAGCAATAGACCAGATAATCAGAAATTTAAGCTAGAATGCCCAGTCTGTAAATCAAGTCATAAAATTATAAACTGCCCTCAGTTTCTGGATGCCGATGTTAATGGTCGTTATGAGCTGCTAAAGAAGTCTGATTTATGCTTATCTTGTAAGGGACCTCATCGCTTATTAATTTAATTACCACCGATCTAACAAAAAAGTTCCACCTTCGTTGCTGGGTTTATCCTCTTGTGTTGTCTGAAGTAGGTAATACCTCCATCTCTTCATCTTCAGCTGAGGTTAAAGTGAAGTTGGGTTCAATGAGAAACAACAATATGTACGATTTTTCAGCCAGAGTGTAGCCTTGCATCAGTGGAAGTTTTCCTTCTTTAGCCGTGCCCCAACTTGTGAACCTTCAATTTCATACGACGGGAAATGTTGATCTACTTATAGGTGCTGAGATTTACGGAGAGGTTTTAAGTGACTCTGTTTTATTTCTAAAGGGTTAACCGAAAGCTATTCATACCTCATTAGGATGGGTATCATTTGGGGACACCCCTCTCAGAAAGCCGTACCTTCAGTACGTACTCTTTTTGCGCAGATCAGCCTTTTCGCTTCCGTCTCGTTCTAACCAGCCGATTAGTCTTGATTCCATTAGAGAGATAGCTCTACGCAGATTTAGATTAAGAGATCCGGAGCATAAGTCTGCCTATGCTGCACAGATGAATATGTAAGACTGCATCATGTCCATCCCACCAAGAATCCTCTGTAAAATCCTAAATGCTCATTATTATGTAACAAATAAAATTATCCATAAAGACCTCAACATTTCATGACCAGATTTCTGCAGACAACGTAATCACTGGTCCTTGCAATAGTGGTGAGGCTCTGGAATTGTACAATGAGTTGATGGCCTTATTTAGAGCAGATGGATTTAAACTCAGAATGTTCTTCAGCAATTCCGAAAAAAATATCTTTTATACCCGAGAGTAGTCAAGTAGTTCCGTTGTGCCTGGATGAAGATTGCTCGACTGTCAAGGTTTTGAGATCCTAAATTCGATCATTTCATGTCTTCAATACAAGAAAGTGAGCCTATTTTTACAAAGCGAGGTATTCTATCCTTCATTGTCAAAATTATCGATATAAATGGATATATCAGTCCGGTAATCCGGTAACGTTTATGGCTGGTTACGGATGATTGGGATGATGAGTTGCCCTCTAGTGTGTCTTCATTGAGAAATATTTTCCTTGAAGAATTTCCGAGTTTGAGAAATGTTTGCCTGCCTTGTTGTATTGTCAGCCAGAACACACCATCTATGCAGCTAATCGCCTTTTCAGACGATTCCAAAAAGGTTGCGGGTGTGTGATCTACCTGAGAGTTGGGTGCCCAAGAGAAGCTACTAAAATTCAATTGTTAAGGATAAAAAGTAATGTGTTCCCACTTAAGGTTCAATCAGTACCTCGTTTAGAATTAAACGCTGCTCTTCTTGCCTCCAGACTGCTTGCGTGTATTGGTAAACTTAAAAGTCGTTTGCGAATTAATGAAGTATATTGTATTTCGGATTCTCGTAACGTACTGTATTGTTTAGAGACACCGCCTCATGAACTTATTTATATCGCCAATCGCGTAATACAGATTTAAGAAGTAACAGAACCCAATTGTTGGCACTATATTCCTACAAAAGAGAATCCAGCCGATTGTTTATCGAGAGGCCTCACACCACACCAGATACTTTCATACGAGCTTTATTGGAACGGCCCGACATTTCTTTCGTTATTTCCTCCTGATTGGCCTATTTACCATACTGAACCTTCATCCGTTCTGCTTGAAGTAAAAACAATATCTCTGTTAGTGGCTGAAAAACCTAATGATTTGTTGAGTTGCCTGGAAAAATACTCGAGCCTTTTAAAACTGCAAAGGGTTTTCGCTTTTATTTTAAAATTTATTAGATGTTGCCGAGATCGGGAACACGGTGTTTTGGCTGTTGGGCCTTGACTGCTGACAAGCATAAGGATTCTTTGATGATTTATATCAGGCTCGTTCAAAGGAAATTCTTCACTGAATTAATTGATTGCCTTAACGGTGGCAAACCATATAAGTGTTCCTTAAACAGGCTCACACCATTTTTGGATAATGTCGGAGCTCTCAGGGTGGGAGCTAGATTGAAGCATTCCACAATTGATGAAAAAAAGTAAGCACCCGCTGCTGATACCTAAAGATTCCTTTTGTGTTACCATTACGACAGGTATTCCTTGCATGGTGTGCTCCTGTTGGACCAGTCGCTCAATTTTGGATCCCATCTCTGAGTAGATTCGTTAGAAACCGGATTTATAAATGCGTTACATGCCACGAAAATAATGTGAAGCCTCAGGCTCCAAAAATAAGTGACTTACCGTCTTTCAGGGTGACCGAGGGTCGATCCTTTCAGCAAGTTGGCATAGACTATGGCGGTCCCTTCCAGTAAGCTTTCCATGATTTCCCATAAGCGCAATGCTAAGTCAAAATGTGCATTAGCTCTATTTGTATGCATGTCTACCAAGGCCATCCATCTAGAACTTGTGACGGACCTATCCACTCCTTCACATATTGCCACATTAGACAGATTTATTGCCAGACGTGGTTTGCCTTTTCATACTCATAGCGACTGTGGAACAAATTTCTTTGGAGCATTCAAGAAGTTGAAGGAGCTTATTCAATTTAAGGGCCAGAGCGAACCCATTTCTAACCATTTAAGTCGGACAGCTATAAGGTGGACCTTTACTCCTACAGCATCTCCTCATTTCGGTGGTATTTTGGGTGGCAGCTATTGACTCCGCTAAGAGACACCTTCTTGCCGTTCTCCAAGATCACGCGTTAACTAATGACGAATTTAATACACTTCTGATACGAGTTGAAGCCGTTCTCAATTCCCGTCCTATCTATAATATTAGCAGTCAGACTTCGGATAATTTTGATTACCTCACCCAGGGCCCTTTCATAAAGGTTAACCCCTCCTGTGTTTTCTTTGACGGGCCGTTGGGAAATCATTTTCAAGACTCTTCTTAATTTTTGGATTGTATAATGAGTACCTCAACAATCTGGTGTCTAGCAGCAAGTGGTATACTGAAAATTTAAAAGAGGGAACCCTTGTTGTTCTACATGAAAAAAATGTTCCACTGCGGGAGTGGCGGCTTGCCACTATAACAGAGATACTAGAACTAGGGCTGTAGTTAGGGTGGTAAAATTGAGGACTGCTACAGCCACTTTACGTGTGCACAAGTTAATGCCTCTCCCTTATGGAGAAAACTTTTATTGATATATATATTTTTTTCTTTGCTTAAATTTAATGAGGAAACATTTTATTTTAAATAAATTGTAATTTATTAGCCTATCTTTGATCTGGCTCACTTTTGTTTCTAATTTTCCAAAAATATATTATGAATAATTTCTCTCTTTCTTTATTATAAACCAAGCAATTTCCTCTCATTTGTGCCTTTCCTGGTAATTACTTATCTATGAGTTTGGTTTTTTTCTTTCATTCTTATTTTTTTTTTTTTTTTCTGTGAAATGAGATATTTTAGGTAAGGAATATGTTTTGTGTGAAAGCTATTATACCCGATCGTAGCGTTGCGGTGAGCACGGGCGGATCTACAGGGGCTTTCGGGCTGAAGCCCCCTCAAAATGGTAAAATATAACGACGTTTTATGAAAAAATATATTAAAAAATTCTCTCTTAAAGTACTATTGTTCGTGTAATTACATTTAAAAGGACTTAAGAAATCACTTAAACACCATTTCATATAGATAGTTAGTTTCTTTCTTTTTTTCCATAGTAATTATCGTCATTTTTATGGGAAAAAAAGCTTTCGGGCCGAAGCCCCCCCCAAAATTAATTCCTGGATCCGCTAATGGCGGTGAGTATTGAAAACGCATCAAATAAGATCTAAAACTTAAAATTTAATCCGTACCAGCTACCATAAGCACTAGCCCCATTCCACCGCAGAAATAATCGGAGATATCAACTGGAGGGTCCTCTCAGTTAAGTAAGATGTCTATGCCAGTATAAAAGAGTGAGTTTATTTTACACAATTCATATAGCTTACCACTTATTCAAAATACAGTCTACTGCCAAAATAAGTCGAATGTTGCCTATGTTGAATTCATTAGTTATTTGAGTTATTTGCCTTTACTTTGATAAAATTTGGAAAGTTTCTAAACAGTTACAATAACTTAAAAATGGATTAAGGAATCCAAATGGAGCCAGTGAAGATATACATATATTTGAAGGAAATGTGTTAAAAAAAGCTTTCTTTCTCATTTTTCCTAGGATGTGGATATAAAGAGCTAGGTCAAATAAGGTTATAACCGCAAAGCAAAAACAGTTTTTTTTTCGAATTTAACGAATTATGAAGGCGGATATCTCGGAAAGTATATTATATATCGAAACATGAATAAAATCAATACTGTTGTAAGTCTAGCCAGCTTTGATTTTGTATAAAAGGTTTATATCACGTGGACACACTTGATGTAAACAATAAATCGACAAAGGTGTAGGGATGTGACGGTACTGGTGGAGCAGTGACGTGTAACAGAGTCTCGGTGTGGAACAGTGACAACCTGTTCCAATCCTTGGGACCTTACTGGTCCAGTGACAGTGACAATGAAAAAAGTCTTCTTATGCATTTCCTTACTTAATTTATGGATATATTAATATGTTATATATTATATTTATTAACCAACAGTCTCTTGTCCATTAATTAATTAATAAGTACTAGGTTTATCGCAAAAAAGATATTTCATTACTGTAAATAAATGATCCCTTCATGTAATTAGAAAATTGTGAGGTTGTTGTAACTGTATTCAAAATATATAAACGGATTTGTGCCATTTGCATGCATTTACAGTTAATTTATATCTAAAAGTAAAGTCGAAATTCACAAAAAGTATATTTGAAAATTAACCTATATCAAAAATACACGTAGTATATTTAATAAACGCCGATATATATAAGTATACATAAATAATTTTTGTGAATATTAAAATAATAATATGATTTGTTTAGTTGAATCTCGATATCCACAGAAAATACATATTATTAACAGTCGAGAAAATAGTAAATACTACAGTATTTACTATAGTAAATAGAAAAAATACTTTTAATTTTAATTAAAATTTGATTTGTTTGATTATTATTTATTCATTTTCGTAATCGATTCATTCCATTCAAATATTTTTTAAAACAATTTGATACTTGGCAATAGAGAAAACCTCTTTTACTCTGGCCGGTGCGACTCAGAAACACTGGCTGTTCCGTACCTGTGACTGTCACAGCTGGGCCTTATGCTCCACCGTTCCGCTGTCACTGTTGGGCCTTATCGGTACTCTACTGCTCCACCGTTCCGCTGTCACTGTTGGGCCTTATCGGTACTCCACTGCTCCACCGTTCCGCTGTCACAGTTGGGTCTTATCGGTACTCCACTGCTCCACCGTTCCGCTGTCACTGTAGGGCCTTATCGGTACTCCACTGCTCCACCGTTCCGCTGTCACTGTTGGGCCTTATCGGTACTCCACTGCTCCACCGTTCCGCTGTCACAGTTGGGCCTTATCGGTATTCCACTGCTCCACCGTTCCGCTGTCACAGCTGGGCCTTATGCTCCACCGTTCCGCTGTCACAGTTGGGCCTTATCGGTACTCCACTGCTCCACCGTTCCGCTGTCACTGTTGGGCCTTAACGGTACTCCACTGCTCCGCCGTTCCGCTGTCACAGTTGGGCCTTATCGGTACTCCACTGCTCCACCGTTCCGCTGTCACTGTTGGGCCTTATCGGTACTCTGGCACTGGCACAAAGCGGAGTAGTTTGGCATAAAAAGTAAATAAAATTAGATGACTTGAATTCATAAATTGATGAATTTATTAATTCATTTATAATTGGTAAATAATATTAAATATAAAACCGTAACGACATAAATTAACACAAATGTAAACATTAGGTATTATACAAATTGAAAAAAATAAATTGAAGTAAGAACAGAGTAAACTAAGTAAGGATCTTGTTACTTAGCTTACTCTGTTTATATTTTAATGTACTTAGTGTTTATAATTTTAATAAGCGTATTCACATTGTTTATAGTTTTTTTGTCTAAATATTATGTAACTTCCACAATTCTCTATCTTTTTTTGTCTTGTCCGTTCTAACCCTGAAGAAGACCTGCAAAGTCGGGTCGAAACGTCGGCTTTTAATGAAATAGTTTTATCACTATTTAGCCTATTTATGACCGCCACCCCGACCATCTCTTTCCTTTATAATGCAATGGTCAACTATTAAATATTCAATCTTAAAATTAATATGATTATTAAAAATATTATTCAATCTATGCACTGTTTGCAATTGATTTTATAAATCACATTTTGTTTATTTTCATTTTTATTTCATATATTTGTTTAATTCGTTATTATTATATAAAATTTATATTTCATTTCTATAGCTTTCTGATGAATCAATAACTTACATACATTTTCTCTAAATCAGCTATTAAATGAATAATGTCTTTGTCTATTTTAATACCATCTAAATTAAATTTTCTCCGAGTGAGAGTAAGTTAATTAAATTATTTGGAACATTAATTTTAGTGAAAATAATTATTTTTATAAAGAATATTATATGTTTTCACTATTAAATTCATATTAATATTTTTTTTTCTTGCTCACATTATTCATGTTCTGTATGATATTATTTGTATTAATTCAGGAAATACTATCATAAATATTATCTATTTTAATTGGATTTAATAATATATACCCTTAAAATTTAATGTATTTTTATATAAAAAAATTATATTTTTGTAATTCAAAACACTAAATTGTGTTATATGTATATTTTCTAACTGTGTATATGCTATTAGTTTTTAGTAATTGTTCTTACTTAATTTATTTTTTTCAATTTGTATAATACCTACTGTTTACATTTGTGTTAATTAATGTCGTTACGGTTTTATATTTAATATTGTTTACCAATTATAAACGAATTAAAAAATTCATCAATTTATGAATTAAATTATGAATCAATTTATGAATTCAAGTCATCTAATTTTATTTACTTTTTATGCCAAACTACACCACTCTGTGCCAGTGCCAGAGTACTGGTAAGGCTCAAATGTGACAGGGGAACGGTGGAGCAGTGGAGTACCGATAAGGCCCAACAGTGACAGCGGAACGGTGGAGCAGTGGAGTACCGATTAGGCCCAACAGTGACAGCGGAACGGTGGAGCATAAGGCCCAACAGTGACAGCGGAACGGTGGAGCATAAGGCCCAGCTGTGACAGCGGAACGGTGGAGCAGTGGAATACCGATAAGGCCCAACTGTGACAGCGGAACGGTGGAGCAGTGGAGTACCGATAAGGCCCAACAGTGACAGCGGAACGGTGGAGCAGTGGAGTACCGATAAGGCCCTACAGTGACAGCGGAACGGTGGAGCAGTGGAGTACCGATAAGACCCAACTGTGACAGCGGAACGGTGGAGCAGTGGAGTACCGATAAGGCCCAACAGTGACAGCGGAACGGTGGAGCAGTAGAGTACCGATAAGGCCCAACAGTGACAGCGGAACGGTGGAGCATAAGGCCCAGCTGTGACAGTCACAGGTACGGAACAGCCAGTGTTTCTGAGTCGCACCGGCCAGAGTAAAAGAGGTTTTCTCTATTGCCAAGTATCAAATTGGTTTAAAAAATATTTGAATGGAATGAATCGATTACGAAAATCAATAAATAATAATCAAACAATTAAAATTATAAATACTATTTTCTCGACTGTTAATAATATGTATTTTCTTTGGATATTAAGATTCACCAAAACCAATCACATTTTAATATTCACAAATATGATTTATGTATACTTTATGTATATATATATATATATATATATATATATATATATAATATATATATATATATATATATATATATATATATATATATATATCAACGTTTATTAAATATACTACGTGTATTTTTGATATAGCTTAATTTTCAAATATATTTTTTGTGAATTTCGACATCGGCGGTTTATTATAAATATACTACTTGGCTTTTAATAAAATAGTTTTGCCATTATTTAGCCTATTTTTGACCTCCACCACGGACCATCTTCTTCCTTTGTAAATATACTACGTGTATTTTTCATATAGGCTAATTTTCAAATATATTTTTTGTGAATTTCGACTTTACTTTTCGATATAAAATTACTTTAAATGCATGAAAATGGCAAAAATCCGTTGATATATTTTGAATACAGTTACAACAAGCTCACAATTTTCTAATTCCATAAAGGGATTAATTATTTAAAGTAATGAAATGTATTTTTTGTGATAAACCTAATACATATTGATTAATTAATAGGCATGAAGTCTGTTGATAAATAAATATAACACATAACATATTAATATATTCATAAATTAAGTAAGGGAATGGCTAAGAAGACTTTTGTCACTGTCACTGTCACTGGACCGGTAATTTGTCGCTGTTCCAATGGTGTCACTGGAACAGTTGGAACAGTGACAGATTTTACATGGAACGTCACATCCCTACAAAGGTGAAACTCTGGGTGGCCACCCACATATCTCCTTGGGTTGGGGACTTTTACTGTGTTTACTTACTAGCTAATAAAAACGAAGTAAAAAAATGTTCTCTTGAATTTTCGTCTATAGTCATTCATTTACTGGACTATATTGGACTATTATTATTTTTTTTTTTTTACTTTTTACAAGATTTAGGAGGTATATGTAGTTATGACGTCAGAAGTAATAACCTTTTGCTCCTTTTCCAAACCGTTGAATTAAGTAATTTTATCTCTTTAATTAAAATATGATTGTGACTTCTTTTACAATGAACTGTTGTAAAGTCAAGAAATTTCGGCTGTCTTCCTTTCCCAAGTAGCGTTGAAATGAAGTTCCTTTGGTGTTCAAAAGTGGTTTTATTGAGAATGTAAACAAGATTGATTACAACTCTTTTTTGAAAGATAAGTTTTTATAATGAATGTGTTGGATTGCTGAACCATCTAAGTATAATGAAATTCATGTATTTTTTTTACAATCGTTCTAATTTTTAAATTTTGTGAAAAATGGAATTTTTAGAGAAACAAAGGGAAAAGACTTTCCAGTTAATACATGTTTATCTCTTAATTTGCCCTATATTTTTCTTGTCCTATATTGACAGATGAATAAGTTTCACAGTTGGCAAATATTTAAAAATGTCATATTAAATTATGAGATATTAATTCTTCGGTAATTTAGTTTAAAAAATTATTGTTTTTTCTTTTTCTTTTGTGCGATAAAATAAGCTATAATTGAGCGACAAACTAAAGAGGCTAAAGCCATGCCTGGAGCGGTGGCCCCCCACCCACAGTGCAATGAGCAAATGTTCCAGGCACTTAAGAAACATATTTTAAAAGAGAGACAAAAAAAAAAAGAAGAACAAGAAGCAGATGCTGAAAATGAAAGGCAACGAAAAGAAAGAGAATTACAAGAGAAACAAGATGTCATGACTCTCTCTGAAAACCGAGAACAAATCACTCAATTGGAACAAAAGCTAGCTCAGTTAAAGGATGAGAAACATCAGCTGTTTTTGCAATTAAAGAAAGTTTTAAATGAAGATGAAAATCGCCGTAGACAGATTAATCGAGAACAAGAAAGTAGGGTCAACGCAGAAGTAACAGAGCTTTATAATGTTTCTGCACCCAGTCATTCTCATTTGTTAATGCAGCAAGAATATCCTTCTTCATCTTATAAAGTTCAACCTGTTCAGGGATCAATGAAAAGACCAAGAAGTCCTTCTCCACCTCATCTTTATCAAACATATAATCCAAAAACAACAAGACTGCCATATCAGAAAAGCTTTACAGGCTATTACCCTAACCCAGGAAGTAGTCAAGCATATTATCCAGGACCTCCTTATACTACTCTTCCGATAAGAACTGATGCTCAACCTCAACCCATGAAACAACACTATTCCAATCAGCCCTATATGCATGCTGGAGAGCATACTAAATTATATGCAGAAGATAAGTATTATTCTGTTGCTTCTAGGCCTGCTACTCATGTTGCACTTCATGGAGGGGCTATCCCGATCCAGCCTCCTCAATCAAAGACAGGTGGTATTACATCTGGCTATCCTATCCGACAACCTACCTCCGCTCCACCTCCTCAACACGTGACACCAGGAATAAGTACAACACACTCAAGCCCAGGTTATCATTATCCTATGGTGTCTCAATATCCTCCATCAAGGCAACAAACCCTGGCTCCAACTCAACATCTTGGTCCTCGTTCACATGCTGTTTATCCCAGTCAGTCACCAACTACTGGAAGGCTGGTCTATAGCCAAGCAAATGTTCCCCAATCTCGTTATATGTGATCTTATAAAGGAATAATAACGTTTGTAAATAAAGATTGTAATATTTTTAGAGTTCGCTTAGATTTTTTTTAAATTTCCTTAATAAGAATTTGTTATGGTTTCAAATTGTATCAACACAATACTTTGTCTTAAGTTTGTTTTAGACAAAAGTTCATACATCCGTCATCTGAAATAATTTTCGTTGGTGTTAGATATATGGTTGTAAGTATATAATTTTAAATTTCTTAAGTTATCACTTTTTTTTTTAACTTAGCTATAAAATGAATATATAAATGGTATTATTTAGGCAATATATTTTTATTAAAGTAAAAAACATAATGCAGGATAAATCTTTACTGCATTCACTTTGTTTTACACTAAATAATATTAAGAATTTCTAAATGAAGGATTAAAAACTTTTTAATAGCTTTCAGCTTTCACCTTCTTGCTCTGTTTTCAAATGATAATGGTTTTCATTGCTTTGTTATTACGGCATCACACACTTATGAAAGCTGTTACTTTATTTAATTTTAAAACAACTGTAAAAGTTATCTCAAAGTATTATCAATAAGATTACTTATATAATTACTTAAATTGTCATTTTGATGTGTTTATTATAGAACTGGTTATTATATTGATTTTAAGTAAGTAAGTTAACTTAATCAGTAGTATATTTTAATTGTAACAAGTTATGTGTATTTTAAAAATGAACTGTAATGATACATGTTTTTGTCAAAATTACTTATAAATGTTATTGGAACTAAAATTTCTTTATCAAAACAGAACATTTTTGTTTTGTTTTGTAACATTTGATTTATTTTTCCTTACAATATCTCCAAATTTACTAGTTTTGAAAACAATTTTTTTTCTTCTCTTAAACTACTATTTTATATTTTATACAACTATCAGGAAATGTAAATTATGATGATGATCGTGTAATTATATATTGTTTGTATAAATGTAATTATTCAAATTTTGTAACAATTTAGCTTTCATTTTTTAAATAAAATATCAAAAGAGCTGTGCAGATCCTTATAATTATCTTTTTCATTCATATTGTATTTTAATTTGTTAAGACTTTTTAAAGTTATTATCTCATTATTAGGTTCATATTATCATTTTTTGATTATCAAGAATTTCTCATTTGAAAATAGATTAGGTGCCCATCTCCCCAAGGTCGATGGCGCAAGAACCTGTCCTACCCACTCCCAAGATACTTTATTGCTCACTTTTTCTTAAAAATAGAACAAGTGAATGTAGAATTTAAAGAATTGTTGATAATGTACAATTACACTTTCTGCAGTCTTTTCCATGTTTTTCCTTTGTCTCTTAGTATGAAACCTTTCATTCCGAAAATTCATAACTCTGCTAAAATGTGGCCTCCTCTAAAATACAAAAACCCACCAAAATATGCCTCCTCAAAAATTTAGATGGTGGAAGTTGCACCTTCAAACTCCCTTATGGGTGCCAGAGTAATCAACCATTTCTTTATTATGGTTTTAGATATTCCATTGAACAAAATTCTATCCTTAAAAATCTTACAACCATTGTATCAATCAAATTAATTGTTCTATCAGAGGGCATGCATTTAAAGCCATCTTAGCATTCTCAAATCAGAATTGGTCTCTTTGAAAATGACCTGTGGGTGTTGATTTTTTCATTATAAAATAAATCTCAACTATCAGACTTGGATAGGATAGGTTTACAACTTGTTTTTGTTAACCTATTTGGAATTTATAAAATATTCAAATTAACATCTCGTGGTCAAAATGGCAAATTAAACTTAATTTTATTTAAATATATCGATAATACTTTGAGTAGTCACATTGAAGATTACTTTTTTTAAATTATAAATTAAATTTAGTAATTTCTGATATAAATGTTTTTGTTTAACTAACTACCTGTTATCCATAATTTTTTATTATTCATTGTTATAAGCAGAAACATTCTCTTTTAATTTAATAGGTGCATTACTAAATTAAAGGATATGTAACTTATTGTTAACATTAAGGGGTAATGAATTTATCTTTCACCAGCCTGATTTAACTAAACTGCACATCACAACTTGAAACCTGATAACTGAAGTATGACCCATTCCAAGTAAGAAAATGAACTATTTAGTATAAAAAGATATAAATTTATAATACGTTACAGCAATTTTTTTTTAAAAATAACTTCTGTCTTTCAAAACATTGCAGTTCGAAACTAGTTGTGTGAAGTTAGTTGCCAGATAGATGATAGTACAGAATAATTTAACTTATGACCTAAGGCAATTTTATTTACTTTTGATTCAATATATCTTTCACTATGAGGCACTTGAGCTAAAAAATATGAAATATTGCCCATATCATGTTAATTTATGTTATTGTTTGCATAAATTCACTGATTTGACCTTACATTTATGCATATGTGCCAATATTTACTTTGGTCAATCATGATAGAAGATTGTAAAAATTAAAATTGATAAACTGTAAGCTTAATAATTGCATTTAATTATTTTCATCTTTTTATCTATTTTCCACCCTCTCATGCCACCAGGGCAATATGGGTGTATGCAATAGTGTGATGTTAAGTATTAATGCATAATAACACACTACTGCCATAATTTCAGTTAACATAGTTCAAAGTTGTGTACTCTTCTACTTTTCCTCCTGCACCAAATTAGGCCTGGCTTCCTGAATCCAGAGGTCTTCCTGAGACTGGTCCTCTTCTCATTCTGCGGGCACCTAGGTTGAAGTGAGCTGGACCCACCGCCGTCTTTCAACCATTTATAAACTCTTTGAACCGCGGGCAGTTTTCTTCCCTCGCCAACTGAGGAAACTCCTCCTCAGTGAGGACGTAAATTTCTGTGGTTCTCATTAACCTGGCTCTTAATCCGTCGGAAGCAGTGCGGACCATGACCACATGCTCAACAGTCTCCAGAACACCACAAGCGGGGCAGTGGGATCTATATCCTATCCGAGGCCATGAAGTTTAGCTCTGAAACTCCTATACCCCATGAGAAATTGCGAAACCCAATAGTCTGGGAGTATCCATTTCGCTTGTAGCTTGTAGCGAGATTAACGGTGGGTAAGTATTTTCTTAAGGTACGGCATGGCTGGAGTTTTCCAAAAATAATTGGTATCATTTTAATACTGAGATTATTTATTCTGTATTGTCAACCGTGGATCGACCCTCCTGGAGCACTTCCAGCCTCTATAAAGTGGTTACTCTTAATTAGATAATTATGGGTAAAACCTGGCAGTTTTCCACCTCCTTGCACAACCGTTGATCAAGAAGCAGTACTTCCTTACAAAGTACTGAATCCTTCATGGGTTGCAGTGATACAGGATTTTTTTTTAATATTGAGAATAATTAATGTTGGGCATTTTCATTCATGCTAATTAGAAATTAGCATAGGTTATAAAAACTAATTTCCTCAGTGAATAACATGATAATATAAGACACTGATGTATACTACAAATTAAAATAATAATGGGTGATAAATATTCAGGACGCAGTCATTATAAAGTTTTTATCAGTGCCAATGTTTCAACTTAAACATGTGGGTCATCATCAGGGCGTGTTTCGAGCACTGATGATGACCCACATATTTGGGTTGAAACATCGTTACTAATAAAAACTTTATAATGACTACGTTCTGAATATTTATCACTCATGATATGTCGAACAGTCGACTAACTTCCTCCAATTAAAATAATAATATTATATATAAGACAAATCAAAGAACATATGGAAGGAATTTAGATAAGCAAATCTATATTATTTATAAAAACTTTAAGTTACTACTTTAAGTGATTTTAACTACATTATTATTGCTTTTTTTTTTTTTTTTTTTAAATGCTGATATAGTTAAAATAATTCCTTCTGAAGTTTTCAAAAATAATTAGTCTCTTTTATTATTGAAAATAATTGATACTGGGCATTTTTATTCATGCTAACTAGAAATTTAACCAGGCTATAATAACTGATTTCCTTGGTGGATAACATTATAATAGGAGATAGTGATGTATATTGAAAGTTTAGATAATACTTAAAATAGTTCCGTTTAAAAAATAACAGGGAAGATTATTGGGTAAAAAAAAATATATAAATATTTATATTTATTTTAAAAATACATAAATTATACATATATATAATATACAATTTAATAAAAATATTTTACATTGGGGTTGCTTAGAAGTTGTTGGTAAATTATAGTTCAAAACCTTTAATTTTAACAATTATTTGTAGCCTTTCAGTTTGTTCTTGTGGCTTCACTTATGGAACAATGATTCTAAAGCCAATCTCAGCAGGAAAAATTCAGTTTGCAATCTGAAACAGTAAGGGAAAATTTGTTATCAGTGGCAAATATTTTATAAAATCATACCCAATACTATGAGTTTTTCCCCCATTTTGCACCACTGCATCACTAGAAATATATGCCATGTCACATAAAATACAGCTGTTAAAAAAATCCTCCAATTCAAGACTTCCTCATATCTATCATTAATAATCTCATCAATAATAGCAAAAATCTCTAAAACCTGAACTAAATTCTATAAATATTTCACTGCTAGCTTTTTCAAAGGTGTGCATTAGTTAGATAGTTCTTTATATAGATAAATTTTAAATTAAATAGCTAATCATAGTTACATTAGTTGAAAATAATCAGCTAAAATCTAATTATTGGTTACTGCTATGTAACTATACCTCAACAATTAAATAAGTTATATTTGTGGTGGATGGCTAATTTTTTTATTCCTGAAAAAATAATTGTCATAGGCAATTTTTATCTAAAGCTGCCAAATAGTGTTTAATAATTTATTGTTCCCAAGTTTCTTCAAAAATAGTGTCAATCAGGTTAAGAAAGACATGATTTTTTTTAACAATAAAGTTTCTGATATGTTTATTTATGTACCCATTATTATGTGATCAATCGGAAGTGCAGTTTATAGAAATATTATCGATTTTAAGATTGACCAATTGTTTATCTATTGATTTAAAATTTTTGAATTTATTCGATATTAAGTTTCTTAACAAGGTTATCAGAGATGCAGTTTTTGAAAATACTAGCAATTTTAAGATTGCTGAATCACATTCCAAGTTAAACTTTCCAGACTTATTTGATATGAATCCTGTTTGTAAAAGATGTAGTTTCTGAAAAAAACTATCAATTTTAAAAGAGAACACTAAAGAATGTGATTTTTTAAAATTTATTATTATTGATAGTATTTTCAAAAACTACACCTTCGATAACAATGATAAATCTCAATACTGAAGAAATTCATAAATGTTGCACTTATGCAAGAACTTGTTCAGAGAAACATTAATTACATGGATCAAATGGATACATGGATTAATTACAAACCTGAAATTCACTTTCATTTCTGCGTCTGTTTAAAAAATATAAAAATAATTGTTAAAATGACATTATTACTGTTCATTGATCACCTTTTCACTGCATTAATTTATCCTTCCTGCCCTTACATCAGTAATAACTCCCCACATCTCAAATATTATGTCTTCGGCAAATGATAGTTCTCCGAGATCAGAATTATCTATTGATTCAGCGAATTCCATACTGTTTGCTTTACCTTCACCATGTTCCCAGATTTGAGTTGCTGAAAAATAAATAAAAGTTTGTTTTTTGAAAGGTAAAAATTATGATTTTAAAATTAAATGTATTTAAAAATAGTCTGCTACTTATTGATTAACTGCTTAGTATAAATAAAATTGCAGGATATTTTATCATATCAGGGAATGTGGGACATGGAATTAGAAAGAATAAAAAAATTATGATATTGTTTATTTTTTGCAATATTTATTAACCATTAGATTTATAAACACCATCTTTCACTATAAAATTTAAATCTATATGTACCATTATAGCAAATGAATAATTTTTCTTTATTTTAGAATTTTTCCTTTATACATAGACAGGTGAAGACATAATAGTTCAGTACCTTTTTCTACTCTGGTTGTCAACTGATTTTATTTCTTGTTTTACTTTCATTTACTCCTATAGGTACTGAATAGTAAGGGAAAGTGTTGCAATCGTGAACATTTTCAAATCCTGATTTTTAATAGAAATACATGTTATAAGGTTCCCAAGTCCAGTCCAAATAACCAAGTCTCGCAAAATGGTAAGTGTATATGTGAACAGTCTTGCTCAAAAATGAAAAGTTGTATGAAATTGAAATTGCATATTTAAGTTAGATATATGGCTGGGATGTTACAGCAAATTTTTGGTTAAAATCAGCTCAGCAGAAGTGCCACTTTATATAATCAATTTTATAATTTTCTCTAAAATGGCTCTAACAATTTTAATTAAACTCGGTATATCAATTCACAATTAGGTGGTCTTTAATATCAACTAGCTCTTATCCTAATTAATGCCACCTAACAGGGCTTAAATGCCCAATGATCAAAATTTCTTTCACCAATATACATATAAGTTGGTTTATTTTAAATAAATAACCATCTCTCATAGTTAATAGTAATAAAAAAAAAGCTCAATATACACTATTAAACAATTAGGTAATTGACTTGAGGAGAAAAAAAGAAAAATGTTAATTTAGGTTGAAAATGAATTTCAGGAATTACATGGCAGAATGCATACATACAATATATCGTTGACAAGATGAGAATTTTAGGAAAAAAAAATATTAAACGTACAAAGCCCTTAAATATTAATTTCTGAAAATTAATGTTATTTAACAGAAACCAAATGAAATTCCCTAACTAAAAGTAATTGTTTTTAAAAATTATTACATATATAATTTATATATTATATAATATTATAATATAATATATTATATATAATTTATATATTATTATCAGTGGTATAATAAAAGGCCTCTGGCCACAGATGCAAAGAACGCATACAGCGTGCATAGCCCTCTTACCTTAAAATGCCCTTGGGCAATAAAAGGAAATTTGAAAATTTATGTATATATACATTTATATATATATTGTATTTATAACCAAGAAATTCCTGGGGAGTAGGAAAAAAAAAAAAAATTATTTTTAAGTTTTAAAAAGAATTATTTATAATCCACAGATTCAAGACAATGGAATTGTTAAAAAAAAACATTTTATTTAACTTGTATCAAATAAGGAGTGTAATATAAAAATATTTCATAGATAAGTAAAACATATTTATAACCTTAAATACATTTACTGAAGTTTAATAATTTTATTTTCAACAATATATTTAAATAATTAGGTATACATTGTCAGTTTATTCCAAAAAAATCATTAAATAACATTTCCGAAAATTAAACTAGTGAATAGGTAGACAAATTTTACCTCTGACATCACATATACACTTAAATTAGTGTGAAGACTTTTGACCTATAGATGCTCTATTTAAAACTGTATTTATCTGAATTTTAGTAAAATTCCTAAGGGAAAAAATAAGAATTTAAATACATGTAAAAAGTTATAGATTTAATTCCTATAATTGTTACTATGTAACACGATCTTTACTTATTCATAATTAAATATATCTACTTTCAAACCCCTCTTTGTATATAGAGCTCAGAGATTGGAGTTATGTGATTCAAACAGACTGATGGGGTTATGAGGTTTTTATTGCCTATACCTAGTCCTGCCATAAATATTGTTACAAGATTTCAACAGAAAAATTATTTTTTTTAAAAACTTTATTAGAAAATAAAATGTATATCTATAGAGAGTAAAACAAAAAAGAAATTAATCAAAATGTCCCCTTTGCCTTGACACAGGCATTTAATCTCCTTGACCATTCATCAATAGCAGCACGCAGCACTTCATGAGAAAAGCACTCAACTGCTAGGACCAGAGATTGTTTAAGGCTTTCCAAGTTAGGGTGTGCTCTGTGGCATGCCATCCCCTCCAGTTGGGACCACAGCCGATAATCTAATGGGTTGAGATCAGGGCTTCCTGAGGGCCAATCCGAGGCAGAAATAAACTCTGGAATGTTCTTTTGCAGGCACTGCTGAGATGACCTGGCCTTGTGAGCTGGAGTGAAATCCTGCTGGAAAACCAAATGACTTCCAGCAAACAGAATATCATTTAGAGGTTTGACAACAGGTTCCAAAATATCGTTCTGATAGTTTTTAGCGGCTGTTTCAACTCCTTTTTTAAAAAAATGGAGCTTTGTGGTGCCATCAAAGCAAACTCCCCACCAAACCATCACTGAGGAAGGATGACGACCTCTTTCCACTCTTCCAATGATGTTTTGAGCTTCTTTAGAGCTGTGTGCGTCCTAACGATCATTTTGGCGATTAAATTTTTCTTCAATTATAAAGCTTTTCTCATTGCTAAACAAAATATTTCAATAAAGACCATTATGTAATGGCCAAGGAGCATTTTGCATCTATTCACTCTAATTTTTTTTAGGGAATAGTTAGCGTTTGTCCTGTCATTCTTCGAAATGTACCCATCCTAAGGTCACTTTTTATTATGCCAGACATTGATCTGACAGAGATTTCCATTTCCCAAGACATGATTTTTTGTTTTCGAATGGAATTTCTTCTGATTTGAGCTGCCACTGCTCTCACTGCATTTGCCGTTCTCACAGTGCGGGGAGGGCCTGATCGAGGTCTGTCACATACAGATAGGGTCTCATTATATTTATTTATAGTACAGTACACGAACATACAGCTGATACCCAAAGGTTTCAAAGTGTTGAAAATTTTCCAATTTTGTGTAAGGCGATCACAGCTATTCGGTTTTCTTTATCACACCACTTCATGTTAACTGAGACAAAGAAATATACAAACTAATAGGGATTATTATCCTGACATGTAAAGAAAATAATCTGATAGAGGTAAGGATTATCCAAATAATACCCAAGGATTTAAACAAAGTTCAACTTTTGTAACAGTATTTATAGCAGAACTAGGTCATCGATATAATAAATAGGATTTGCATTATTTTGATGGTTTTATTGAGTTTTACATAGATAAATATGACCTAAATCCACAAATCTGTTCTTTAAGGTTTAATTCCATTAAAAATGTACTTCAAAAACTTTTTATAATATCCCAATTTCACCAGACAAGAATTTCTGTTCAACGTAGAGTGGCAAGTGAAAGTGGTGTGATGCACAATCAGATTTTTTTTGTTTTTAGTTAAGCAGCTATTGAAAAGCTTTAGCATTATCGATAAAATAATTAGTTTTCTACCTTCAACATAGAGTCAATAATATAATTATGCTCATTTGAAACTAAATACTACCCAAGCTTTGGTTTGGAACACAAATGAGAGTGAAATTCTTACATATTGATACAATTGACAATGGAGTATTATCAGAAACTCTTATAGATAAATGAACTTTGATTCCAAGAGTTAATTTAACATTTTCTGGGACAATACTTCCATTTCAATTTCAAAGAAGACAGTTCCCTGTAATACTTGCATTTGTCATGCATGACTACAAATAAAGTGTTTTCTCTTGATAATCATTTGATGCTGCTAGTAGAGTTCTTTCATTTTATAGATTGGAATTTTATGCTTCTAATGACAACGATCCAGGCAGTTTACTCAATAATAATAGAATCCTTACAAAGTATACTGTGATAAAAAAGTTTTACATAAAAAATTGTTTAAATAGCATAGACATTTCTAATTTCAATTTAATTTTTAATTGCCTAATCATTTTATTCATTTATTTTGTGAATAACATACACCAATCAAAATTGGAATTAATTATTTTTGATTGATTTCAGTTTCATATTATCAATAAATAATTTTAAGTAGTTTAAGCTCGATTTTTAATTTAAATTTAAATTTTATTTCATATCAATAAATGACCGATTTATTGATTAAATGACTGACCAGTGACTTTTAACACCGGTTTAACCCACCTGCTGAATTCAAACTCCTTACGTTACGTGTACCAATATCTAAATCCCTATTTTTAAAATTGCGCCATGGATCTCATAAAGCAGGCTTCATCTGGAGGCACGATCGTGGTTGTATTGAAAGAATTTCTAAAAGGTTAATATGTGCTGTGCCAACTGATAAACATCCAAAGCTAGACCGAATTGAAGACCGGAGGATTGCGTTAAGTCTGATCTGGTGGAATTGGGATTGGACGGCAAACGGTGGAAGAAGGTGTGTAATAACTGATTGGTGGCGGCGGTATTGAACCTTCTGGTGTACTAAACATTTTATTATTATTGTGATTCATTTGGCTGTTGGTCAGATATTTGATTAATTTATTAATCAAAATTAGTCTTTGATTGCAAATTTATTTGAATGTTTCGATGAAATCTTCATTCATATTTTAGATTGGTGGAGAGGGGGGAGGGACAAAGGTTTCCTCGAAACTTTCAAATAAATTTGTAATCAAAGACTAATTTAGATTAATTTATTTCTAACCAGTAGGCAAATAAATCACCATAAAAAGAACAAAGGTCAAACCTGCATAATGAAAAAAGATTAATATAATTATCACTAAATGATGGTTCTTAAATTGTTATTTACTAGTATTTTATTTTTATTTAAATTCTTCTTTTTACTTTTTGCTGGGAAGTTGTATGTTAATTATCTGTTTTCTTCCAACTTCCAATTAAACAACAATTGATTTATTTGTTGTATTTACAAGTTTACATTTTTACGTTTTGGGAAATTTACTCCCATCAGAACTACAATCCTATGTTTCTTTGTCGATTCATGGATAAAAAAATGGCTTTATTTAATTCTAAGGTACTGAACTGTTTTGCATAGTAAGTAAATATAAAAGTGCATTTTCTTAGATATATAACAAACAAATAAGAGTAGACAAAAAAAATGTTGAAAACCTGCAAATTTATTTAAGTTTTTTTCAAATTTCGAATAATGATTATGGTTAAATTTTGACCACTGGGTGAACACTAGTAATAAAACTTTCTCATATGTTTTCGACAAATCAAAATGTCTATTATATTGGCTGGTTCATTTCTGTTTATTAAAAATCTCCCTAACATATAATTTTTAAAGTGCAAGATAATTAAATATAATTTTTATAAATTCATGTATATAAAGAACTTAGATACACTTACCTAAATCAACATCCATTATTCCCAGGTAGTTTTCTAAAAGTTTATTTATTTTATCAATACCCAACTGCATCTCCTTGTTTGGCTAGAAATGAAAACATTTGTGCTTAGTTTTATCAACATTTTTATAAGTTTCGTGTTGTTTGTCAAAAAACTCATATTTTAGAAGTGAAAATATTAAGGCTTGCTAACTTATAAATGAAACATCACCAACATTGTTTCTGTATAAGAATCAAAAGACATTTTTATTTTTGGGAACTTACAAATCACTACTATCTTGTTAAGTATAAAAAGGGTGATTCTCAGATCATAGGAAAATTTTAGGATCGAATTTCTGCTGCATTCAATTTTTTTTAAATATCTTTTATTTTTTATAATACCTACTCTTTATAAACCAATTTGAGTTTAATTTATTTTTTATGATCTAGGGGTAGGGAAGTAAGTTAAATTAGGTAGAATATGAATGGTAAATACTTGGGTCATCTATGTAGAAGAAATTATAATTGGTAAATGGTTGACTGTCGTGGATAATGAAGAGAAGAATAGTTGGGGTGGTCAGTCAAAAAAGAAGGCAAAAATAAATGATAATATTTATTTTTACATATGCTGACATTTCGACCTGAAGTTCAGGCCATCATCAGGGCTAAGAAAAGAACCAGATAACAAGGTATGAGAAATATAAAAATTACAGTAAAATGAAGTTGTTAGAATAAGGACAATAGTAAGAACAAGAGACAAATAATAATAACAGGTACAAAGTGTGGAATGATGAAGAAAACATAGTCAAAAAAGGTGACATAAGTATTGTAAAGGGAATACTTTTTTCGGCATATGTAAAAATAAATATTATCATTTATTTTTGCCTTCTTTTTTGACTGACCACCCTAACTATTCTTCTCTTCAGAAGAAATTATAAATTGACATCTAATCAAAAGTTAAATTTGCAAGTTTAAAACAATAAAACTATGCAAATACCAACACATATTTTGATGGGGTAATTTCTTGTATTTTATGAGGCCAAAACTGTTGTAACTCACATTATAATAATTTTGATTTTATTAACTGTCTTTCAGTATCCGATAGTCAAATATAAATCATAATGAATACAATAATTTGTAAAGATAGTGTGATTGTAACAGAAGCCCTGAAATAAAGGAGAGGGGAACAACATTCTGAAGGAAGACGTTACACTTCGTGCTGTAGTCAGCGTAATTATAGCTGTGATAATGATAATAAAAGAGTGCTTTTTTTTTTTCTCCTTTTTTTTCTTTCTTACTCCCTTTTAGGCTATACAGGCTTTTTATCCAGGCCAGAGGAGAGAATAGGGAATTTATGTGCAAGTGTTAATTTTTTTATTTTTTAAATTTCACTATGAAGAAATGTTACTTCATTGTACAATGGTCAAAAAAATCAGGTTAGTTAACTAATTGAGTAAAAATTATAGTGGACTAAAATTGCATGTAAAATTAGAATCACCCAAAAAGTAGCCAAGGTACTTAACTTATTTTTGATTTTATTAAGATATAAAATTTTACTTAAAAAAAAAATTATTATTTATAATACAAAAAAAGGAAATGAAATTTACAATCTATATAATTTGCTTTTTATAATAATAGAAAAAAAAATGCAGTATAATTTTGTTACACTGTATCCAGATTGACATGTAGAACATTTTTTAAGATAATTGTAGGAAGTTTATCAACTGTTCTATATATCATGGGTGATAAATATTCAGGATGCAGTCATTATAAAGTTTTTATTGGTGCCGACTTTTCAACCCAAACATGTGGGTCATTGTCAGGGCATGTTTCGAGCACTGAAGGTATTCAAGTACTCAATTCTTTACTCAATACCAATCAATACTTTACTTACTCAATACCAGTACTTGAATGCTTTCAGTGATTGAAACACCCTGATGATGACCCACATGTTTGGGTTAAAACGTCGTCACCAATAAAAACTTTATAATGAATGCGTCCTGAATATTTATCACCCATTTTCAAGATAAAATAAAAATAATTTTAATCTGCCGATATATCATTGTTTAATTCCAAAAAGTAATATTCAAGTTTATTTTTCAAGGGGAATGTTAACTTTAATATAATCATTTATGCATAATTGATTTACTAAAAATCAAAATCTTACTTTCTTTTAAAACATCTCTTTTCTTCCAATCTTTGTATAACTGTCGTTTTAACTAACAATGTCAAATATCATAAAAATTGAAGAAAAAAACAAAACAAAAACAAGGATTATGTAGATGAACAGGAATTTGAAGCTTTGGCCATTTAAGTTTTAAAAAAATATGGGTTAGTTCTTAGAAAATTAGTTGTGTAGAAAATATTATATTAAAGTCACTAAGTACATTTTTAACAGGGCTAAACTTTTAAAAATGTTTTTGTGAATTTCTAACTTATTATCAATAAAGAACATTCTAAGTCTATCAAAATTAACTATAACCTTTAATTTATCTAATATAAATCACACAAATCATTCACATTACAAAGAAAACTATAACATATCTTTTGATTTCAGTTTTATTTTACTTACCTCTTCCTGAATTTGTACTTGGCCATTGGCTTTAAACCGTAATGTTTCTTTTCCAGTTCCAAAACTCTTTTTACCTCGTCGACCACTTCCCCGTGGTTCAATATTGGCTAAAGAAAGCATTCATTAATTGAAAATGTTATAAAGTTTATTATAATAGTTAAGAATGATATGAATTCTCATAAATATAAACTTTAATTTATTATGTAATTTCTTAGTATTTTCATTATAAATTAATTAATAAATGTGGTTAGAAATGATCAAATGTGTCAAATATTTTTCATTGATATATATGCAATTAAGCAATACCTACTGATGTCACAAAATAATAATATTTTCTTTAAACCTTTGAGGATTTACTACTGTGTAAACATGAAACCAGAATTTGTCCATAGAGAGCTCTAGTTATTAATGTAACTTAAATTAGTGTATTATTGGTACCATTTCATTTCTTCCACAGCAGACAAAGATTTTCAACTCAAAACAATAAAAGTAATATTTTTCATATAAATTAATATTATTTCATATAGCAGCATTCTTTTAATATTATTGAACACGTAGAGTTTTGTTTCTGCAAACTTTGGATTTGAATACAGCATTAATTTTCTGTCACCATTTAAAGAAAAGTACATTCTCGGTTTAAAAAATTCAAAAGTGGCAATTTTGACATGAGAAATGAAGATAGTGGAAGACCACTGTAAAGGTTTAAAGACAGTGAATTACAAGCATAATTGGATAAGGATGACGCTCAAATCCAACAACTCGTAGATCAATTGAATATTAATATGAGAAGCAGTCTCCACATTTTTGAAAGCTATGAGAAAATGTGTTCTTCGTGAAATGAATGAAATACAGCAAGATAATCGGAAAAACACCTTTGAAATGTAGCTTACTAGGTATAAAACAGTCATTTCTCCATTAAATTGCGATAAATGATGAAAAGTGGATATATTTTGAAAATCAACATCAAATGAAAGGCTACGTCACTATGGGCAGAAGACAATACTCTAAGGGATCAGAAGTGTGTGATATACTATAAGCTGCTAAAATCTGGATAACCTGTTAGCTCTGAGTGCTAACAACGCCAAATGATACATTTAAATTTTTTTTAAAACTTTTATTATGATATTTACAATTGTATTAGTATGAATACATCTAGTAAATTTGTACAGAGAAATATTATTACATGAAACACGCTTGTTGAGAAACTACCCACTGGTAGCACTCTAATAATTTGTCTACATGAGAAGATCACGAGGCCATCTTCTTTTCAGACGCCTCGGAGGGTTATCAGGAATCGAAGAGGAAGCAAGGTTAGAAACAAGAGGATTCGGATGGTTATGAAGTTTATTATGAAAGGATAGGTATCTGGATTTGGCCAAATCGGAAACATATGGAACATTGAGGTCTTTATGGATTATTTTATTAGTGACAAAGTAAGGAGCATTGAGGATTTTACGAAGGATCGGATGCGAGAGGAATTCGATGGTTTAGTGGAGCCCCATAGCTCAACTCCGTAAGTCCAAATAGGTCTTATTATAGTCAAGTATATGAGTCTTTTGTAATTAAGGGGAAGTTTAGAGCGTTTGTCTAGTAGGTGTTGGAGTAGTCGGTTAAATTAATGTGAAAAAACAACCAAAATATCAAAACAGACACCACAGAGTAGTTTTGCTTCATGACCGGCAGCAAAACCAGTGAAGGAAAAGATTGAGGCATTCATTTAGGAAATATTAGTGCATACTTGTGTATAGTTTACTCAGCAGACTTGGCTCCATCTGACTACTATTTATTGGAATCAATGAGACATGCACTTGCTCACCAGTGCCACAATTATTATGGAAACATACAAAAACGGCTTGACTGGTTTGCTTAAAAGAGCAACAGTTTTTCTGGCATGGCATTCATAAATTGCCAGATAGATGGGGAAAATGTATAGCGATGGACAATATTTTGAATAAAATATTTGTATGCATTAAACAGGTATTTTCTATATGAAAATTTTGCATTCAGATTTAAACACCTCATAAACATACATAAGAAAATAATTATAATAATTACAAATAAGATGAAATTGTTTGTATATAATAAAATTATTTGCTTTAAAAAAGAAAATTAGCTAATAGCATGAATATTACAATTAAATAAAACATTTTAAGAGCAAAATAGTTAAATACAAGCAACACAAATAAACATTTTTTCTAATGACAGAATTTCTATAAGTTGTACATATTAGTAACGTATTGTTTTTGACATTACATTTGTTTAGCTTCACTTCCAAATACATACTAATTTTAAAATTGTTCTTTTTCTTTTAATTTAATTTAATTTATTTCATTATATAGTTGAACAAAAAACAAATTAAGTAAATAGTTTGTAAATATATTCATATTAATTGTTGCTCAACTTTTCGGGTTAATCAATCATTTTCAAAAGAATTACAATCAATCAAAAATTACTTCATATATAAATAGTCTTTCAACCTTACTTATTTATTATTTTCCTAACTGTTTAATTCACACTATAGGAGGGAAACAATAACTTTAAAAGGATTTACAAACACCCAAAAATGAAATCTGTAATTTTTAGTCTTTAAAAACCTTCCAGAATTCATGGGCAATACTGGAATGCGGGGATCTTAAGAGGTAAAAGATTTGTTTTTCATTCTCAAATAAAAGCTTTAATTTAAAGACCATAAATTTAAAATTTTGTTTTTGAATTCGCTCAAATACTATTTGGAGTGTTCTTTGAACTATTTTACTTGTTTTAAAAATTTTTAAATAAAGATATTTTAAGATCTCAGAACTCCTTCGCTATGTGGGACCGATTAGTCCATTTATCACTAAATCCTCCTCCTTGAAAGGCAAACTGAGCAAACACAAAGCTTTAAAAAATTGAGAAAGCTTTATTAATTAATAGTGGTTCTTAGCCTTTTGATAATCTAAAAACAGTTCTTCTAAATATAGAAACTACCTTTCATTTATGATTGGTTCAACAACAATGCACTATTTTAAAATATATGAATGTGAATTAGATAAAGATAATGATATAAACTCACAAAATCCAGCTTTGATTGGCTCAACTAGTCTTAAAATAAATGTTGAGCCTAGAGGTATTTCTTTCAGCATTTTAGCAACTTCAAAATGCCTTTTTCCTACAAGGTTTGAGTTATCTATTTTTTCTATATGATCTCCAACCTAATAGAAAAAAAAATACTAAATAAGTCATGTTTATTACACAATAGGACAAAAATATTTTATAAATTGAAATAATATTAATATTTAACAAGATCAAAACAACCTGTATATAAGATATTTTATCCACAATGCTTCCTTCTTTTATCCTTTTAATAAATGCATAACCAGCTCCATTGTCTGTGATTGTTAGTCCTAGAGAATCTTCAGTTTTAGTTATTTCAAATTCCTTAGGCCTTCCTAAAAATAAATATTACTAGACAATTGTAGTTTTACTAAAGATCTATGTTAATCACTTTAAAAACAAAAGTAGAAAATTAACATAGTGCACACTCAATACAATCCAAGTCTACACTCAAGTCAGAAATAGAAAAATCTTCTTGAACCTGCTTAAGGCATTTTAAGTTAAAATGTTTTGATTTAAACAGCATCAAAATTGTTAACAACATTCCTCTTTTAAATTTTTCATTTTTATATTATGAAAACAAATACAAACATGAAATCTGTTAGTTCTTGTTAAATTCAGTATCCCTAAATTGTTGATGATAGTTTTATTGATATTGTCACCATAGAAGCAATGTAACATATCTCAATATTGTCTTTAAAGCAATTATTTTGAAGTTTTGATCAACTTTAATTTATTTTTGTAATATCATAATGCAACTTTGATTTAATGTATGCCTTTATTTAAATGAAAGTTACTTTATAGTCAAGAAAGTCTATTGTGAGGTATCTTCTTTAAAAAACAAATTAAGAAAGTAATGCGGAGTTACAAATGTATTTAATAACATAAAAGATGTTCAAAGTTCTGTTTTGATTTGGAAATTAAAAAAATCAGTTTTCAAGTATTTCATTCCTAAATGTAACATAAAAAATCAACTCAGTAAGCATACCTTTCCGATGGGCAAATATAAAATCCTCCAAACCAATCTGGCCTCCAAGAAGTTTGGTCATGTCTACTTTATGTGTATTCAAAGTGCAGAAAAGAATCTGAAAAATAATGTTTCAATAAGTTGAAAATTTCTTGGTACAGCGCTGAAATATTTTAAATCATTAGAATATTTTCAATGCGCACTATAAAAGTAATGGTCGTAGTCTCAATTCTAGTAGGAATATTGAAAATCAACTTGTTAAGTAAACTTATTAACTTAGTTAAAAAGTAAAAATCTACACAACTTCAAATTATGACAAAAAATCAATGCAAAATTAAATATTAATATTAAGGCTCAAATGTTATTTTGACTTGTTTCAATATAACGCTAACAGAGGAACAGTATGACAATATGAAAGCTACTCAAAGTTGTCTAAACACATAACCAATCATACGTATGACATAAGGTGTATCTTTTTTAGACTGTTAATATGAGATGTGATGGCGATGTTGAGTTGAGCATATCCAACCTCTATAAAGTGGATACCCTTAATTGAGAGATTCTGGCCTCCCATTAGCCAAGAAACATGCTCACAAAATAATAAGCCCAAGTTAGCCATCATAGGTGAAGTCATGGAGGCCGAGTCATGAATGTAAATATTGTTCAGTCTAGACACTAGTTTGAATCCGGAGCCTTATGAGGAAGGGGGTTGAAATTTATTTTGTGAAGGATCCATGGGTTTTTTTTTATTGTAATTAGTAACCATTGGTAGAGGATGCAACATATGCAAGTTTTTAACATGACAGTACCCAATATGGCATTAAAATCAAATAATAATAATAATGTAGTTTTTTCTTTTAAATGCATTTATAATTTGAAACACATGGGCTGGAGGCAGTACCTTACCTTACCTTGTTGCAAGCCAGTTTTCCAAATGTCAGCGACAGGCGATCCTTTATTCTAACAACCATTTCTATCATATATTTATCAGTGCTCTTCTTCCAACAGTAATGAAAAAGATTCATGAATTACGTTTTATTGTGAACAGCAAACTAAATTTTGACATCTTCGTATTAAATAATCATAACCATAATATAAGTACAATTCTTAATGAAGTTAAGGATTGTAACCTTTCAATTGGCTGACAGGTTCCTCTAATCCTAGGTGTTAAACTGCCTGAGTAAAGCAAGTATGATGGACCAATGCATTCATCCAAGTAAAAAAAACCTATGAATATAATTAATTTAAATGTGTAATTCTGGATCGTTATTTATTGCTCTCAATTCCAAATAACAAGTAATGGCAGTTTACTATGTCCAACTTACCTAGCACAATGAATCATAAAAGTACTTTTTAATAAAGATTCTAGTAACCCAAAATTAACTTTTAATGCAATATTTAACCTAATAATAAATTAAATATATAATTACAAAATATGAAATCAATTTTTTTTTGTAAAACAAAAATGAAAATTGGTAAAAAATAAAAATGTAATTAGAAGGAGTTAGTCGAGGGTGCGGTCAAATAAATAAAAAAATTAAAATATATAAATAATTTTAATTTTTGCCGACGTTTCGACCCACTTTGCAGGTCGTCTTCAGGGCTACAAAAGATACAAACATGTTGAAAAAATAAAAATAAAATAAAAAATAAATATAAGTATATATAAATTACGAAGAAGTTGTCAGATAAAGAAATAAAATATAAAGAAAATAAATAAATGATAAGAAAATAGATAAAAGAAAATAAATACATGAATGTTAACGAATAAATGAATGTTAACGAATAAATAGATTGAAAATTGAATAACTATTGTTACAGTAAAGTTAAAATATGGATAAAATAACATAATTATAAGATATCAGTGGTTAACAAGCAAGTGGAGGTTACCTTTAATTGTAAATAAACAGATAACAGACCAAAGGTTAAGAAGTGAAGAAATTCTTAACCTTTGGTCCCATTATCTGTTTATTTACAATTAAAGGTAACGTCCACTTGCTTGTTAACCACTGATATCTTATAATTATGTTATCTTATCCATATTTTAACTTTACTGTAACAATAGTTATTCAATTTTCAATCTATTTATTCGTTAACATTCATGTATTTATTTTCTTTTATCTATTTTCTTATCATTTATTTATTTTCTTTATATTTTATTTCTTTATCTGACAACTTCTTCGTAATTTATATATACTTATATTTATTTTTTATTTTATTTTTATTTTTTCAACATGTTTGTATCTTTTGTAGCCCTGAAGACGACCTGCAAAGTGGATCGAAACGTCGGCAAAAATTAAAATTATTTATATATTTTAATTTTTTTATTTATTTGACCGCACCCTCGACTAACTCCTTCTCATATCATATCAACGGTCAACCATCTCTACATCATTAAAAATGTAATTCCTTATCAAAGCAAAGGTTTCAAAAGCAAACTCCCAAAATTAAGTATCAATGGCATGAAACAATTTTTTATACATTCAATTTTAAAGCTTTCTTTAAAGTAAAACATGACTTCATTATGCTCAGCATTTTTTGTAAAATTTGTTCAAAGGTCGATTTTTTTTTTTTTTGTCTGGTTACATTTAATATTTGCATCACTATACTTATATTAATTGTAATTACAAACCTATTACTTTTTTGTATAATTACTATCCATCAACCAAAACTTATAAATCTTGTATGTGGTTTGTTTGTGTATATACTTTTTTAAATCTAAAAAATAACAACATTCAATTGTAAATATTTATATTTTATTTCTTTTATATACAGAACAAGAAAAGGAAGTTAAATACTCTGTACAAAGGAAGCCTCTATTCATTGATTAAAATATATAAATACATACACGACAATAAACGTATTTATATACACATTAATTTGATGTTCTATGACATAAAAAAAAGGGAAGTAGAAGAGGCCACACAATTAATATATAACTTAATATATACAGGAACTATCAGCTATTTCTTAATTAAATTATAATTATTTTTGTATATATACACTAAAAACAAGCAAAGAATTATTTTTTTTACTTGCCCTCTATCAAATATGACTAAATACTACACAAGTTATAATAATATAGGCCTGCAGTGAGTAATCCACTAAAAATATTGCTAGACACAATAAAAAATAAATGAGAAAGTGACGATTTGTGAATATATTATTTTAATTTAAAACATACCAGTGCACTTTAAAACCTACGCACAATGTGAATAATAACATAAACAGGACTTTAAGATATGATGATTTAAAATAGATTACAGGCTAAAATCTTCAACTACTAATAATGTAAAAAAGAAAATAATAAGTCAGAAACAGAAATAAAAGAATTTTCAATATAATGAATATAAATAAAATAATTGTCTTTTCAAAAATAAATATAACTAGTAAAATTATAAATACTGAAGGATATATATATATATAGTAAGAAGATTTAAGCCTATACAATTTGAAAGAAAGGCATTTCAATGAGAAAACCAAAATCATACGTCAAGAAAGTCTTTCAAAAGGGTAGTACGCCTTTTTTCAGCAATATCTATCTGATTCTCTAAATCACCACGATCAGTAGTTTCAGCATGTTCAATCTTCCATGATAAATTTTCAATTTCGGCTTCCAGCTGGGCTTGTTGATATTCGAAAAGTTCTTTACGTGGCCCCGGTTCCATATAATAAGCAAAAGGATAGGTGTATTGCAGTGTGTAACGGCATTTGGCCAAAAGAGCAGCAGCATCTACAAGGTATTGCCAGTCGATCCATGTTCCGGAAGAATTCATTACTTTAGCATTTATCCTACTTTTAATTTTTTCTAATGTCTCAGCCTCCAATTTCAAACTTTTAGAATGATTTTCCCAACGTTCATAATAGTGTAAATATTTCTTCAAAGCTTCCCGAGCTTGAGCATGAACTGATTCATTAACAATATTGGGATTTTCTTTGTAACGTGAACATTCATAATACTCTGATCCATGAGACTTCCAATCTCCAAGGCACATCCAACAAAAATCATGTTTACAATTGTAACATTGCATATGATTACAACCTCCATTCTTTTCAATGCATATATGGCAGCGAGGGCAATCTTTGGTGTGTGCTGAAATATAATTTGCTGTTTCAGAATCATCTGCACACTTAGTGAGCCATTTTTTTATAGTAACACAATCTGTTGGAGCATGATATTCCATACCGCATTTAAAACAAAACGATGTTTTGCAATTACTACAAATTGTTCGTTTAGCCTTGGGTTCTTTTGAACGAAATATAACATTACAATTTGGTCCTGGACAAAAACGCAGTTCTGGATGAGATTTAACATAATCACTAAACGCAAATTTTTGATAACGTTCACGCAGTGAAAACCTATTTAACAGAGAGAGAACAAAGTCTTCTGGAGCTAAAAGACCACAATCTTGAGCCATACAACTGATACCAGTACTTACCCCTTGAGTTAATTGAACTTCAAAATGGGTAGCCCAACAATCATTGCAAAAGTGATGTAAACACGCTAAATGACTGAATTTATCTGGTGGACTAGGAACTAAACATACAGGGCATCTCAGTCTACTGCCAACTGGTTCTAAGCTCTGTGGAGTACTTTGGCCACCCATCATCAAGTACTGAATCCATTCATTGTTTTTGTAAGCTAATGCTGATGGTAAAACTACCCATTCATTTGTGTGAAGTATAACTTTAGCAAGGGAAGGAGTAACTCCAAGATTGTTACTCAATGCCTCGACAGATTCATTTAGAAGTCTTTCCACCTCAGCATCAGAGAGACATTCAAATGAAAACTGTTCAGGGTCTTGTTCACCTGATTCATTTTCTTCAATATCACATTCGTCCATATGGTAATACTCCTCATAGCCACACTCTTCATCAGAATAATACATACTAGAATCTTCTTCTCCAGACATTTTAAGAAGTAATTCTAGAACAAAGTTGATGCTATCCAATATTTTTTGAAGTAGAAGTGAAATTATTACATCTCGTTTTTATATTATTCCATTTTAAGGTGACAATCATTGTATGAGAGATATTGCGTCAAACAAAAAGTCTTCGAATTGTTTCTTCGCGCACAACACTTCACTTTGAAACTTAAAGACTAATGAATAGTTAGGTAAACCTGTTTCAAACTTAAAGGATAAAACACGACTAAAAAGTTAAAAGTAGCATACAATAAAAGTAAAACACAGTCACTAAATCCAATAACCTACAACGATAAACAACGTCAGGTAAATTGTATTACTATCAGCTGTGTCACGAAACCAACGCCATCTATATCTACTTGAGGATTTTCATGAACTGGATTTAAATATTTTCACATTATTATTATCTTTGTTTTCTCTTTTTTAAATCATAAATAGTACACAATACACATTTTAGTTTGAAAACAATTTTTTTTCCTGACTTGTAAATATTGAAAACGTTATGGGTTAATATTAAATAGCAAACTCGGGCAGATAATTTAAAAAAATTAAGATAATTACGTACTTCAACTTTCCGAACAACCACGAAAAATGTTTTGTACCTATTTTACATAATTATCACTATTAACACAAAGCAATTTTAAATTTTGTTCTTAAATTAATTTTTTAATTAATTAATTTAAATTTTGTTCTTTAAGATTTAACTCGGTTAGAAATGCACTTCAAACATTTTATAATAGCCCAATATTGCCAGAAAATAATTTATATCGAAGTAGAGCAGTAAGTGAAAGTTGTGTGTTGCGCGCACCAGATTTTTTTATTACGATCCACACTCATGGGAAATGCTTGCAGACATTTAGGCTATGGCTAGGGAAAATTCATCAAATTATTCACTAATTTAATTTTCTAAAAGTTTCCAAGATGATTTTATGAAATAAACGGATGATAGATATCTAATTATTTAAATATAATATCAGATCTAGAGTTATTAAACTACAGTAAATGAATTTAAGGTTACATATCCATGAAATATTTTTATATTTCACTTCTTCTTTCTTCACACAACTACAATGAAGTAATATTAAAAACAACGCCATCACCTTGATTCGGTGGATTTTAAATATTTTTTTTTCAAACTTAAAAAAAAAATTAAACGTTTACAGTTTGTAAGATAATTCCATTTAAATTCCTTGGAAACAAGTGATTTATGTTAAATAATGTTAGTTTTCAGAAATTATTATTTATATTTTTTCGTCACTCTCCGTTATTTTCTACAACTTTATTTAATATATATTATTTTTTTCTAAAATTCTCAGTTTTCCAACGACATATTATACGTATACCTTCTGATAATATTAAATATATAATAATATTAAAAACAACGCCATCGCCTTGATTCGGTGGATTTTAAATATTTTTTTTTCAAACTTAAAAAAAAAATTAAATGCTTACACTTTGTAAGATAATTCCATTTAAATTCCTTGGAAACAAGTGATTTATGTTAAATAATGTTAGTTTTCAGAAATTATTATTTATATTTTTTCGTCACTCTCCGTTATTTTCTACAACTTTATTTAATATATATTATTTTTTTCTAAAATTCTCAGTTTTCCAACGACATATTATACGTATACCTTCTGATAATATTAAATATATAATAATATTAAAAACAACGCCATCGCCTTGATTCGGTGGATTTTAAATATTTTTTTTCAAACTTAAAAAAAAAATTAAACGCTTACAGTTTGTAAGATATTCCATTTAAATTCCTTGGAAACAAGTGTTTATGTTAAATAATGTTAGTTTTCAGAAATTATTATTTATATTTTTTCGTCACTCTCCGTTATTTTCTACAACTTTATTTAATATATATTATTTTTTTCTAAAATTCTCAGTTTTCCAACGACATATTATACGTATACCTTCTGATAATATTAAATATATAATAATATTAAAAACAACGCCATCGCCTTGATTCGGTGGATTTTAAATATTTTTTTTTCAAACTTAAAAAAAAAATTAAATGCTTACACTTTGTAAGATAATTCCATTTAAATTCCTTGGAA